CAACTTTAGATACTACAACAGTACTATCATAAGGTAGCAGGTGAAACCGTACCCGAGTGAAACCGTGCCCATAAAAATATTATATTTTTTTAATTTTATTATTTAGAATTATAATAATGGAACCTACAAAAATAAAAACATTGTTGAAATATAAACTGACAGCCATTTTAAAAATGAAGAAACTGAAGTTAACTTTCACTTTGGAAAGAATTTACTTTGGAAGTTAAGCTTTTTTTGATAATTATATTTGGGCAAAGATTATCATTTTAGATTTAACAGAGGTAATTTCATGTGGATTGTAATCTAGATTAATGTTATATTCATATTTTGAATACATGTTTTTTAATTTTGTGAAAAAATCCAATTTATTTGAAAAATAATTTTCAGCCATTTTGAATAATTGTAAGTATACCTTTCCAATACTCATTTCAAATCAAAATATTATTGTTCTTTTATTGATGTGTTCAATAATATTATTTTTCATTTATTCACTAATTACATTTAATATTTTCAGTCTGGTATAGAGAATTATTCATAAAACATGTCAGTCAAATGTAAGAATTGTAAGCTTTTTGTATATGAAAGACAGAAGAAAATGTCTTGTGTGCTTTGCAATGAAATTATTCATCAAAAATGTGTCATAAGTATGATTCTATATTCAATATGGCATTTATAAATATTCAGCTATTTCAATCAGATTCTAAGGTGTCAGTTTGTCTTGATTGTGAAAAAAACAGATTCCTTCTTCAGATGAAGAGACCAGACTATCAAATTGTAGAAACTGGTGATGTGTATGGAAAATTACAAAATTCAACTAATCTTCAAAATGAAGATGGAGAAAGTCACCAAGTTTCAAATGAGCCAGAGTTTTGTGATGATGGCAATTTTGATAACTGTCATATGAATGGAAATGAAATGAATGAAAATTTAAATGAAGATGTGGTTGTAGATGCAAATGAAGGTGTGATGGATGCAAATGTGAATGACAATGGAATATTGAGCAATGAAAATATTGAACACTTGCAGGAACTGATCCATGACAACTTTCAAATAGTTAAAGGTGGAAGTCAAAAATATTTATATTTTTCCCATTTTTGGTAACAAATCTGGCTGCAGTTTTATAACCTTTTAAGAGCATTTGTTTATTCTTTTCCAAAATTCATATTCAGATTTGAATTGTGGACTGTCATATACCAGGTTTTTGGTAAGGTGGCACGAATACAACAGAAAACGTCCACAAATGAGTGCTTTTACCCTAACCCTAACCCAGCCCTTAGCTGTACTTAACCTTTTCCATTACCCCTAACCTTTAGAGGAGAACCTCCTAACTACAAATCAGTTGCTGTTTTCTTCTGCCTAACCATTTCTCAATCCAAATTTTTGTCTTGAAATTTCTCATTTGTGGACGTTTTCTGTCGACCCCAGGTGGCACATGTTCTCAATTGAGCTGAGATTGATGCCCTTTGCTGGCCATTCAAGAGAATGGATTTCTTTCATTTCAAAGGCTCTTTTAATCGTCCATCCTTACACAAATAGAATCTCCAGTTCGTCCACAAAATACTAACCTTTTACAATGCATTTGTCTCCTTTACAGCATATTACACACTACACTCTGTTTTTCCATCTGCAGTCTTGCAAGTTTCATTTGAACATCCTCTAATATATTCTATCTGATCAGAGATTGCAGTTCTATATGCCCAACAATCTCCAATGGAACAATCATTAATTTGCATTTTAGATGTATTATTGTTAATACTGGAAATCTCTTTTCCACAATCAGCTTTATTTCCTTTGCGCTTATAAAAGAATTGAATGAGATAAGAGACATTTGTTTACCCATTCTTTCTTACCCTTTACAAATTCTACAAGAATGTTTTCTCTTTCTAATTGACAATTTGAGGCTAAATTTTGTAAATTTATATCCACTGAACAATTGATAATACTATGAAGAATATTTTCCATCAACAATGGAGAAATTCATAAATGGGTTAATTAATGACCAATTTCTTTTGAATATTGTAAATTATGAACTGCATAGCCAACTTTATAAATTACACCTGGAATTTGTTGTTGACCAATTGAAGGAACTGCACTAAAAGTGACAATATTCATAATAATATGTGTCTGTTGAAAGCCTATCCTGGTAGATAACGACTTAAAAATTTTATCTTTTGCATATTCTCTGAACTTATATAGGCCTATAGATTTTTATAAGAACTTTAAAAGCCTTGGTTTTCTCTCCATATGTTGTACTCATGTTTAAGTTATATCCTTAAGTATTTACCAGAGAATGATCCTGAACATATTAGTTAATAAATGACCAAATAGCTTTCAAGTTAAAACATGAAGCAAAACGTATGGGTAAGCCAGATATAACTTCAAGAATAGCTTTATTAGAGCTAAAGACTTGAGATACCTGTAGAAGAAGATATAGAGGTTGTTTACAACATGAAGAAATGACAACTTCATTCATCATATTTTCTCTACCCGTGGAAAGATAGCATTGGTGTAATTTTAATAGTTAAGAATACTATTACCCATTATTCTTTCTTGAGTACTTTTCTCATACTTCACATACAAGCTTTAAATATGAATTAAATATTATTTTTGGGGTTGGGTGCAAAAGCACCTAATAGGTCTCCCTAAACGTTATAGGTATAGCTTCTTTAATAAAGAACATAAGGGTTCTAGTATCACATAAGGCAATGAGCTCTCTTCCATTGTGGTTTTTCATTCCAAATTGAAAATGTTCTCTCCCTTTTACCTGAAATGTTCAAGTTTGTCCTCTCTAAGGTTAAAGATTGCCACTGTTCCTTTAGAAGTTTCTCTATCAGTGGGTTCCTTAGGTTTAGTATGTATCAGTCTGTTGAAGGTGCCTCTTTCCATTCCTGTGTCTCCCATTCTTTGATGTGGTTGAAATCTATTTTGGGTAAAATTTATGTTTGGATTAATTAGCTTGTTGTCTAATCTTCTTTTAAATTGTTTGAATTCCTTTTCATCTTCTTTTCATCTTCTTTTCTTGCATTGTCAAAAACTTTTAAAGATTGTTCAGCATTGGAGGATGTTGATTTTACTACAAATTTTTGGGAGATCAATCTACAGAGAATATGAAATATAGCCAAATATCAATATCTGCATCAACATTTAAAAAGCAATACTTTTTTTCCCCACTAAAGAAACAAGAAAAGAAATCAGACATTGTTTCTTGACATTCTCTTTATGATTATATTCTTCAATATCTGAGTATTTAATTTTATATTATTTTTGATTTAAGACTACTCTGCAATCAAATTCATTTTCTCAAAGTTTATATAGCTGTTTGGACTTTTCATAATTAACCAATTTAGTTTTTTTATGACGAATATTTTTGATTGGTATAAGCCAATAACAGTGTCAAAATGGAACATTAAAGAGAATCCATATCTCAGCAAACCACTGGACCGATTTTGATCAAATTTGAAGAAAAATTAATGGCAAGAAATAATATTAACAAATGGTTATATTTTTCTTACATGAAATAAATAAATTGTAAGTTAAATATTGAAAACATTATTTTTTTTGTGAAGAATATTTTTTTCTATACATTTAAAGGCTGAAGAAAATTTATTTTTTGCTACAATTTTTTGATGGGTAAGAAAAAAAGATGAAGAAAAGAACACATCACTGCATATTTAAATAATATATATATATATATATATAAATTTTATGTGTTTTTTTTAAATATTAGTTGGGGTAATTACTTAGTATTATTTTTCTTTTAAAAATATATGTAAAAAAAATTGTCCACTGTGATTTAATAATTTAATATTTCTGCCCAAAGCATTTAAGTATTAATTTTAAATATAAGTAATTTATGGAATTAACTAAAGTCAAGTTTTGAAGGAGAACTAAACTACTTTGTAAGTTTAAATTAACTTTGTTTGACAAGAGTGAATGTATTCAATAGTTAATAGTTGTTTTGTGAGTGCTTGCATATTATGTAATAAGGTGATCAATGGAAAGATCACCAAAAGCCTTTTCAATTGTTTGGTTAATTAAATTGTTTACAGAAAAAAACTCTTAAACAAGAAGATATATATAAATATAACTGGGTTTTTTTAATATTCAATAAATCAGTCTGAGGTTTGACTTTGGAAAATTGGTTTACTTTTTTCTGGAAATTTTTTTGTAAGTTGTACAAATACACTTAGAAATTATTCTAAAAATTTTTTTTACACAGCATTACAATGGAAATTAATAGATGGTGTATTGCAATTTTTGAAGATCCTACTCAATCAATTGATTTTACTGAAAAAAATTTAAAACTTCAAATTAGTTTTCTATTTCATTGTTACTACAATGCCTACTATAGCAGATTTCATGTAACTTTTGATTCTGCTATCTGTAAACAATTCTTTAAGTATCAATTATTAAGAGGATGTTGTATTAAAGAGGCATTAGCTGACCCTTCAGAAAATGTGGAAGAGCTAAAAGTTATTTTTAAATATATTCAAAAACTAACATCTGTATCAAAAAAATCTATGAGAAAATTTTATAAAAAGCAGTTAGACTTAAAAAATTATAGATTCTTAAAAGATTTAATGAAAACAGTTAAAGAGGAGGATGCTTTTAAAAATATTTTGGACTTTTATGAAAAGAAAGTGTTAAATATAAATAAAAAAAATTGGAAATCATTGGAGAAAGAAGTGATAAAGTGTTCAGCAACTGGAAAAAAAGTTACTTAAGTTCTATAATGACTGCCATGCTCCAACTCCATCTAAAGAAACAACAGCAACAACAACCAACCCTATCCCTCAATCATCTGCAACTGAAAATGAAATGGAAAATGAAACAACTCCAGCAGAAAACACAGACATTATTGTACCTGCACAGCCAACTGCTACTACTGCAAGAAGATTTTCAGAGGAAACAACAATTATTGAACATAGACAACAATCTGGAATTGAAACTGTTACACCACAACTATTTGAATCAAGATAAGAATATTTTCAAGAACAAGAAATGGCTATATCAGCACTGCAGTCAGAATTGGAACCACTTACAACAGAAATTGAATCTGCACAACCAACAACTGGAATTGAATCTGCAGCACTATCAACTGGAATTGAACCTGCACCACCAACAACTGGATTGGAATCTGAGTTACCATCTACAAATTGTGAAAATATTGAGGAAATGCATATGGAAATCTACAATCAGATGGGTCTTGGGGAGAATTTGGAAGTTGGAGAAATGATGCAGTTGGATGAGGATGTCCAGAATGATGATGCTGTAAGTAGACAGGATTTTTTTTTAAAGAGTTGCAAAGAAAGAATGAAAGGAAATATAAATTATGTTAATTATTCCAAGAACAATCAATACTTTCAATGATCCTGATTTTTCACAAAAAACTCAACAGAACTTCCTTAAAGAAACAAAACCTTTCCATGATATTTTATCAGATTATACAATTTTAACAAATGATTTTCTAAAATTAGAAAATGGTAAATTCTTAAAGGCTAAAAATATGCTAAAAATTGATAAAAGCTTTCAGGTGTTTAGTATTGAAAATTTAACAATTCAAGATGTCTTTTGTATAATTAAGGGATGGAATTTAACAACAAATATTTTAATTTACTTGAAAAATATTTCTGTAGATTTTGATATAAAAAAAGCAGTAAAGCAATTGCCTTTTTCCAATCATCATTTATTTTTTGTTAAAAAATCATTTAACAAGGAGATAACAAATGATTTAAAATTATTATAATGTAAATTTATTTCTGCACCAAATGAATTGTGTAAAAGAGGAAACAGCTTTTATCAGAATGATGAAGGAGTTTATTAAAGTAGCACATTAATAACATATAGCTTATATATATATTTTCTTGAAGTTTTTTTCTTATAAAAAAATATTGTATTTTTGTCTATGTCTAATGTATTTTCATGTTTTTCATTTTGCAAATAAATTTGAAAATTTGAAAATTTTGAAAAAAAAAATCTTGTTTTTTTTTGATAATACAAAATACTTGGAGTGAGAAAATTATTTAAACATTGTACAAAGCAAAAGAAAAAATAATCACCTATTGACCCATTCATCTAGACATATCACTTTCACTTGCAAACAGATTAAACAAATTATGTAACATTATGTAAGAGTGAAAGTATTGTTTCCTAACCTTTGTTTAACCTTTGACTTGTTGAGGATTGTGAAATTTTTCAATTTTATATATACTTATATACTTTTATTTGAATTTAAATATACAAGAATCTACCTTAACTATGTCTTTTGTTACTTTTCTATTTATTGTAAGATATAAATTGCTTAGATTTTGAAAATTTGAAAATATTTTTTTGACTATAATTCTTTATATATTTGGTATCAAATTAAAGTATATTTTGTCAGGAATTATTATTGATATATATAACTTTATTATTATTTTCAAAAAATAAATTATTTTAGAAAATAAATATTTAACATTATTTCTTTTTAATTCCAAAGTTGACTAATAGGTGGAGGTGGTGTAGGGTAAGAGCCAATCACAGTAGAGAAATTCTCAACAGCCAATCAGCACCCAGCTTTCATCAGTGTAAGAAAAATTATGGACCAGGAAGGTTCATTTCCCAACAAGCCTTTATTGAGGTAGGATGTCTGTGCATTTTTTCAAAGAAAATTTTTTAATTGTGATTTTTGTGTTTTTGTGTTTCATGTTTCTACCTGGACTATTACCACTACGTATGGACCAGTGCTTGGAGAATACATTTGTTAACTACAACTTCTTTAAGGTTATGTACTAATGTAATTAGGTTGTAACTTAAATAAATTTAAGTTTAGGATTTAAATTGTAAATGGTAAAAAAAAAGTAGGAAACTTAAGTTTAGGTTAGGGATCAGTAATTTAAAGGTAAATTAAAGTGTAACTTGTATATTTAAAGTAAAATCTTCTTTTAATAAGTAGGGTTTCTTGCATTTTGAGTTGTAATCTTTTTTTGAGGTAACCACTCCTAATGCTAATTTTTTAAGAGTTCCTTAGGATAGGATTTGTAGGATTTCCTGCATTGTTGAGTCCTAATCTTTTTTTGAGGTGAGTACTCTCAATGCAATTTCTTTTGGTTTTAGGTTAGGTTAGGCTGTGTAAGGTTTTCTGGCATTTTTGAGTTTTAATGCAAATTTTTTTCAATTTCTTTTAAATTAGGCTATATAAGGTTGTTAGCAAACTGGGTTTTAATCCTTTTTTGGGGAGACTACTCTTTTTGCAATGTTTTTCTGGTATATTAGGCTTTGGTATTTAGGCTGATTTATAAATTTTAAGATAGGTTTAAAGGTTAAAAAATATTTGAGGTTTAGGTATGACAACATGAATTTTGATCCTGTATGGGAAAACTATTCCATGTTGATGAAAGGGTTTTTTATTTAAAACAAATTAATTTTAAGTTTAGGTATTACAAAAAAAATTGTATTGTAAGGTTGGTGCAAACTGGGTTGTAATCTTGTTCTGAGGTAACTACTCTGATTGCAAATTTTTCTGGTTTTTAGGTTTTGGTATTAGAACTTAAATTAAAATTAAAAGAATAGGGTTAGGTTAGGTTTAATTTTGGCTTTGTAATTTAATTTTAACTTAGGAGTTAAAGTAACTAGGTTTTTTAAATATTTTTAAATATTATTAAGTTTAGAAATTATTTTAAAGTGTTCTTGCAAGTGGGGTCTTAATCTTTTTTTGAGATGATTACTCTAATTGCACTATTTTTCTAGGTATTTAACTTAAAATACAGCAACAGGGATTTTAATCTTGTATGAGGAGACTATTCTATGTTGCAAAAAATTAAAATTAAGAACTGTTAGGACTGCAGGTTGTGTAATATTTTATATAGATTATATTTTTTTTCAAAATGAGGAGTTGTAGTTGATAAATAAACTTGTTATGCTAAGTATCTTTTGGAAAAAAAAATCTCCGAAAAAAAGGTCAAGTATTTTTGTTAAATGTTGATGTAAAGGAAAATATTCAACTTAATTTTATTTTTCATAAATGGAAGCTATATTGGAATTTGAAAGAGAAGACTGCTGGATGGACTGAAAAGAAATTTGTACCTTTGGACTTGGCTATCTACAAGAATTATCCTTCTCTTCCACTATGCTTAAGAAATATCTTCAAAGAAAATGTCATGTGATATGTTTTGTAAAATTTTTTTGTTTATACTATGTTTTACTTGAAACAAATCTATCTGTGTGACTTAAAAATATCAATGTGCCAATAAAAAAGTGAACTTACTTGTTGTGCTAAAAAATTAAAAAATAAATGTACATTTTGTTTTTTTGAATTTGAAAAAAATATATATGAATTGTGATAAAAAACAAATATCTCTTCAAAAGATGTAAAAGTTTAAAAACTAAAAATAATGTTTTTCTATGGTTTTAAAATTATACAAAACTTTAATGCCAAATGTCTCAAAAATGATAAAAGATAATTAAATTCTGTAAACAGATTTAGGATTGGCAGGTGTAAATTAGTCTATATACAAAATTTCAAAACCCTATCTTAATTAATAACAAAGTTAATTTTTGCATGACGAATGTTTTGTATTGGCTTATATGCCACAATATTGACCAAACTTTACGGCGTCATAACTCATGAACCATAAGAGATAATTGAATTCTGTAAAAAGATTTGACATCAGTGTAATGAAATTGAGCTATATATGAAATTTCAAATTCCTACAATTATTAACAACCAATTTAGTTTTTACATGACCAATATTTTTTATATAGGCTTGTATACCAAAATATCAAACTTTACGGTGCCATAACTGAACTGCGAGAGAGAGAGAGAGGAAGAGATAAAGGGGAAGATTGTGGTTAAAAGCTTTTAACTGAACCTATCTTAAAGTTCTTTTTAGCTTTTTGTTGAACATCATAAGATAGATTACAATCTGAAAGTTTAATAAAGTCTTTTGGACTATTTTTAGGTCAATTACCAAAGAATTTCAAACTATTTCTCATCAGTTTGTTTTTTTGCCATTTTTTTTCATCTAAATTAGTACTGTACAGAGGCGCAACCAATTTGGCTCTGTTAAGAACTGTACTAATTATTTTAGAGTCAGAAAATTGTATATAAAAAATGTTTAAATCTGAAAAATAAAACAAATTAGTCTCACGATCAAATATGAATATTCAACTGGCTTGAATTCATTTTTGCTTTTTCTGTTGTTTTTTCTTAAAATCGAAATATTTTGATTTAAAAATGGATTGTATGGTTGTGAAAATTTTTTTCTGTAGGATAAATGATTTGTGAAACATCATGCAAAATTTCAGATAAATATCTATATTTTTAGAATCAGTTTTGAACCCTGTTCATTTTACCTTGTTGAAAATACCTATAGCCAGATCTATTTGTAATAATCTAATAAAGAAATACAAAGTAAATAAACTTGTTTATTACTTAAAGATGGTGTTGGCTCTAGCTTATCTTTTATGCTTTATACAGAGTGCACTACACAGATATGAAATTCAACCAGACGAAATCTATAATCTTGATCCTCAAAGTCCTTTTAAAGTATCCTTTGATGTAGCCGAATACATATCAGATGTTGATGGTATGGGTGTACTAAGTTTTTTTGAAGCAATTAGAGCTTGTAAATTAAGTTGTAAACTTAAATTTTATCAAGCTTCCTTGAGTGAATTATATGGAAAAGTTAGAGAAATTCCACAAAACGAGTATCTTGAATAGTCTATTAAGTGAGTAGTTTTAATCTAAAAGCTAGCTTTCTTATAAAGATTTATGAAAGAAAATCCTGCAGCTTAGAGTCTCCTTCAGCATATCCTTCTATATTAATTGATTTATTTCAGAATATTTCAAAATCAATTTTACAATTATATGAAATATCTCTTCAGAATCTTTCATTTGAAAATGGAGAGCTCAATGAACAAAGGGCAAACTTTTGCAATAATCAAAAACAATTAAAAATTGATCTGTAAATTATTAGAATAAAAGAAAGAAAGAAAACTACTCCATTATCAGAAAATATCAATGTTTAAAGTTTTAAAACAATTTGAATCTGTTGAACTGTCACACATATGGCAAGTCAAACCTTCAACGATTGGCACAATTTACTTTAATTCACCCGACGATAGCGTTGCAGGTGTACAAAATAGGTTTGAAAACAATTCTTTTTTTCAATGAAATACACGGGATAATCTACATTTTTCATTCTCCATTATACAGAGTTGGAGTTTTTTTCTTCTTAGCTATGAATCAAGCGTTTATTAATTTATCGGCGCTAGAACTTTTTATTAGGGAACGCGTTATTTTTAAGTAAGTATTAGAATTACTAAAATCCTGTTATCTTATCATATACTCTTCGTACTCTTCAGACACGAAAACGTTAGCGGCTTCTATAGATGTTCGACTTATTATTGTTTGAAAATTATCTGCGATTTACTGCCAATAAGAGCTTTGCCGTTGATTGTTTTCAGTGTCATAGTATATTGGATGCTTGGTAAGAATCTGAGAAGCAGCTGTTTTGGATTCTGACTTTACTTTTTATTTTTTGCATAGATTTATCTTCTGATGCTGGAAAATTCTTTTTCTTCTTACTTACCCTCTATTGTACTACTATTACCGCTTGCGCCATCTGCTTTGCATTCAGTGCAACGTTTGAAACTTTTGCTATTGCGAATATTGCAACTGCAATGTCCTTTGTCATAATGATGGTATGATAAACACTGTTTCCATTATATCTGTCTCATTTCTTGTTTTAATGTTTATAGTTATTCAGTGGAATGCTTGTAAAGTTGGATTCTATTGGTAATTGGCTGGAATGGGTTAAATATCTATCGCTGATGAGATATTGTCTAGCGGTTTGTTAGCTTTATTTTATTTATTGTCAAAATTTTCATGATCTATTATGTTTACAGGCCTTGATTATTAACGAATTTAAAGGATTGGAATTGCAGAAGAATGGCACTAGTGAAAAGTAATAGATAAAATTTAATTAAAATGTTGTATTTAATTACCATAACCTTTCAACTTTAGGGCCTTAGCAGAGAGATTTACCTACAAGAGCAAAAGATTGACTATGAAACGGATTGGGATAAATGGGTCAATATCCTAGCTTTATGCCTAGTGGCCACTGGATACTTTATTATTGGTTATATCCAATTGAGAAGAATGAAGAAATTGAAATAACTGAAACATTAGACATTGTATTTGCTTGAAACTATAATTAGACTAGTGTACAATATTCGAATTTACCATCAGAACACTTGTATACAACGTATTTAATATATATGTCATATGTATAATAATATGTAAAGCCTATCATCTGGTTTGAAGTGTATACTTTGACAAACAATACATGAATCAGGAAAACATTCCATTACAGTTTCTGTAACATTTTCACCCTGTCCTACATTGAGGACAGAATCTGTTGAAACAAAATAATCATCATTTAAAGATACATGTTTCCAGATAGCCTTGCCATAAACTCCATTATTTTGTCCAACATAATTTATATCCATTTCTTGGAGAAAAGCTATTTTCAAGAAAATATTTCTTCCACAATCCCTTCAAGTTCCCACTTGGATGTACTGTTTTTATTAGCACAACTTACAATGTCTTTCCTCTGGCTGGAGAGCATTTGAGAATTACAACAGGACAAAACATCCGCTGAGGGTAAAGTTTAGGGCTCGGTTTGGGGTATTTTTATGATTTGGAAAAGGTCTACTTGTCAACATTATATCTTGGAGATTGATTTCTTTATACTCTAAAAAAGAGGGTACTGCTTTAAGAGAAAAGATAAAACTTTAGATTCTCCTCAACCTGTTTCACTGTGAAATGTTCCATCAATATCAATATCACATAATTCCAAAGGTGATCCATTAATTGTTTTTGTTATAGTTAGAAAAGAACCAATAACATTTTTTTCTCTGCAGTCAAAGCATTGGTAGTTTGAAAATGAGTTGGATACAGGATTTTTTATTGGACCTTCCACATAATTACAAAATGAATTGTCCTCTTGTAAGAAGTTTTCCACAGTGATATTAAACTTTTCCAGAAAATTTTTTTAAATGGGTTAAAACTCTAAAACACTTAAAATTTCAATCTTTTCAATATAATAGTAAAACTAACCAGCCTTTCCACTTAAAAGACATACTTTGCCAATGTTGTAATTATTATCCAAATCAACTGCAAACCAAGAGAAACCTTCTAGGTCAGACTCAGTTTTTGAGCAACCATAATTATTCTTTTTCAAAGATTATCATCTAGTTTAAGAGGATCATTAAGCTAAAATTATAAGAATATTCTTACCCCTGTTGCTGAATTATCAATAGAAATTTCTGAATCAGTTGCATACAATGGCTGAGAACAAAGTTTTGTTTAACTAAATTGAGTTCTTAAAAACAATGGAAAATGATATACCAGACTGTGAATATGTTATTATTCTTATTATTTTTGTTCATAATCTCTAATCCTTAATCCTCCATTATCTAAGGCAATTGGACAAAAATAATATATGGACAAGAAAAAGGTACAAAATCAACATTGTACCATAATTATGGAGTTTGTTTCTATCTATTTGAATTGGAAAAGAATAAATTCACTATAAATGAGATTATTAATTAATGTACAGAGAAAAATTTGAATATTTTAGATTTGGCTTTCAATGATGTACATCTCATATTTTATAAGTATTTAATGTCTTATACAAGCCATTCTTTTGAATATTCATTTCCAAGTGGTAAATATAACTATCTAAATAAATAGCACATATATTATTATATTCTATATAGCCAGTGGTTATGTCAACATTTCTAGTGTAGAGTATACTTGTTCTTCAGTTTCTTCACTTTATCCTGTACAATACATGAGACAAATGTACAAATTTGGAACAACAGGTGTTGAAGACAAATGTAAATATTTCTATAAGAATATTTAAAATATTTCCATTCAACCTAAAAACATCAACTGCTTTTCAACAATATTGGATTTGGTTATGTAAACTTCAACTATTGTGAAGCACGTCTAAAATCTTCAAATACATTGAAACATCTTTATTTGCAGTCATCTACTTTGAATAAAAAACAAAGTGAAAATCTGAGAAAACTTCTTACAAAATTGTTCACATATAGAAACTTTAAATATATCTAAAAGTTTTGGAATTGGTATGGGAAACTTCAACTTTTGTGAAACACTTCAAAATTCTTCAAATACTTTAAAGCACCTTGACCTACAATCATGTAATTTGAATGAAGAACAAAGTAAAAATTCAGGATTTAAAAAGGAAAATCTATTATCTTGAAAAATGAGTCTGACACTACTCATCACATTCTTAGTTGGATGGTAAAAATAAAAAAAAGCACTGCAAAGAAATACATCAACATGTGAAGGGAAGAGAGCAGAGGGGAGAATCTACAAATCTACAATCTACTTGTATAGAAATTTGACATTTGCCAAAACCAACCTACCACTTGACAAAAGACTTTCCATTTCAAAGTGTCTAACTCCAATTTTAACCCTAACCCTAGTCAGAGTGTGATCAGATTATAATTTTCCTAACCCTACCTGATCTCGAGTTGTTGACCTGTCTTTCTCTCAAAAATACTGAATATTTTTGAAATCTTAGAATAGATTTATAAAATTTCATAAAACATAATCACAATTTTATTATCAATCAACCTATAAGCATTAAAAAATATTCAAATTTTTCATTTTTTTGGTTTTAAATTAAACCTAAGATTATGAGTTTTTTTAAAAATCAAATTTAAGAATAAGAATGTTTATAATATTCCAAAACAAACAACTTTTTAAAAAACTTGTTTTTTTAATTTCATCAAATTTTCTATATTTTCAATTTCTTCTTCACTCAAGTTACATAGGCTTATATTAATATATTGTAATGTATTTACTGCTATTAAAAGCCCTTCAGCAATATTCTTAAATCCATTTCCAATATTTCTATTCCATTTTAGATCAATTGTTTCTATTTTATTGCAAATTTCTAATAAATTTCCGATATCATTAGCTTGATTTTTATCTAATTCACAAAATTCAAAACTGATATGTTTCAATGTGTTTGATGATTGTTGAAGACCATTACAAATATTCTTTACACCAGTTTTCATATTTGAATTATAGCCCAAATTTATTTTTTCAATTTTTGAACATTTTTCCAAAAGTTTTCCAATTGAAAAACATTGTTGTTTACTAAAATTGCATGAGTTAAGATTAATACTTTTCAATGCCTTAACTGAAGGTAAAAGTCCATTACAAATATGTTCTACAGCATCTGATATATTTCTATTCTCTTTTAAGTTAATTGTTTCTATCTTGGAACAATTTTTTAAAAGCTCTCCCAAGTTTATACAACTTTCTTTGTCAATTTGGCAACATTCCAAATTAATATGTTTCAAGCTATTTGATGATTTAACAAGTCCTTTACAAACATTCTGAAATCCATGTTCCATTTTTGAGTTACTTTTAAAATTAACTGCTTCTATTAAAGAACAATATTTAAATAGGTTTCCTATATAATTACATTGTTCTTCATTTAGATTACATTGCTCAAAATTAATAATCTTTAAACTATTGATGGATCTTTGAAGCCCATGACAAATGCTTTTTATTCCATTATCTCCCAATTCAAAATTACCTTTTAAATTGACATTTTCTATGTTTGAACTTTTACTAAACAGGTGACCTATCCAATAACATTTTTTAGCATTTAGATTACAGTTCTCAAAGTTAATTTCTTTCAAGTTAGTTGCCGATTCTATAAGCCCCTGACAAAAATTTATTATGCCATTTTTCATATTTAAATTGAATCCTAAATCAATCCTTTCTAGTTTGGAATAATATTTCATTATATTTCCAATCTTTTTAAACTGGTTTTCATCTAAATTACATTGATTCAGATAAATATTCTTTAATGTGGATTGTGAATAAAATAGTCCAATACAGAACCTTTCTAAGCCATTTCCCATTCTTTTATTCCAATCTAGATTGATTGATTCGATTACGAAGCAATTTTTAACCAAATTCCCAACATTTATGCATTGATCTTCATCTAGATCACATAGTCTAAAATTAATGTGCTTCAAAGAATTTAATGAATTTAAAAGTCCTGTACAAATATCTGCTAATCCATTTCCCATTTTGTAATTTCCTTCCAGCCTTATTGTTTCAATTTTGGAACACTTTTTAAGTAGGTCACCTATCCAAGTACATTGTTCTTCATTTAAATTACACCATGCTAGGTTGAAATTTTTTAATGAATTTTTTGATTGGGTAAGTCCATTACAAATGCTACTTAATCCATTTCCCATTTTGGAATTCCATCCAAGATTAACATTTTCAATATTGTTAGAGATTTGAAATAGGATACCTATCCTTATACATTCATGCTCTCCTAAGTTACATTGGCTTAGATTAATTTTTATCAAATGTCCATTTGTTGATTGTATTTCTTTGTTAATAATTTCTATTTGTTTATCTTGAATGCAATTGCGTGACAAATCAATCATTTTGAATGCCTTACCATTATCTTCCTTTTGGTTTAAGAAAGAATTCTGAATTTCAAAATCAATTAGGATTTCATCAGAAATTTGTATATCTAAATTATTAATGTTTCGCTCCAATTGATACAGTTCATCAGTATTAGTTTTACTTAACATTTCATTGAAATATTCTTCTCTCTTTCTAATCACGTGTTCAACCCTTTTTTGGATAATTTCAAATTGTTTGTAAAAGTTACCAAGAGCTTTTAATTCAGCTTGCTCAATTTTACGCATAATAATTTTGTTATGTCTTTTCTCTTGAGCAAGACAATTCTGAATTCTTTCCTTTGCCTCTTTAAGAGTTTCATTTGACATAACTGAGCAACTTTTATGACTTTCCTCCCAACATAAAACACATATACTTCCATGCTCTTTGCAGTATAAACATAATTCTCTTTCATGCTTTTTACACAAATGTGTATTCACCGATTGTGTTTCTGATAATTTTTCAAACTTATACTTTCTTAGCCAAGCAATGCCTCCTTTTGGCAATTTGTGATTTTTTTTGCATTGAGGACAAATGATGTAGTTATTCTGTGATCCCAATTTTCTTAGACAGTTATAGCAAAATATATGTCCACAAAACAGTTCTCTTAAATCACTGAAAACCCATAATTTTAAGCAAAGTGTACATTTTGGGTTCATAATGTTGAGAAGGTTGATTTTTCCGCGGCTATATTAAAATGTCTGTCTACTTTCGTTCTCCAATTGTATTTGTTGATTGAGGCTGAATCATATTAACTTTCTTTTTATCCAAATACTGATAGTCTATATTTTCAATATGCTAAAGATAAGATAACCAAACTTTCTATTGTTTAGTAGCAGTATGCAATGTTGTATTACAGCCTTAGGTTTTAAAGTTAGGGTTTTACACCCTGGAGTTGTATACTCTCTTTGCTCTAGTGTGATAGACCTGGATGGAAGAAGTAATTTCTTTGAAAGGAATGCCTGCTTTTGTCAATTAGGCTTAGCGCCTGGTCTGTTCACTCCTGTTTGGAGACGGGATGAGATAACTCCAAGCAATGGAAAATTGCGTCCATTAAAGGCAAAAATGGATTTTCAGTTGACAACATGGTGTATTGAGGGATTTCAACTCACGCCTTGTCAAATTTATGGAATCATTATCCGTGAACTGTTTAGCACATTTGATTCTAAATGTTAGCTGTTGCTTTCTATAAATTACTGGTTAAGAGGTTCAGGCATAAGCCATAGATATTAATTTTTTAAAGCCTATTAACATTAAAATCTTGATGTATTTTAAAATACTCTTTTTCATTACATTGGAAATGTAAGTCATACTATAAAATGACTTCCTTGGTTTTAAGATTTTTGAAATGATGTATTTCTGCCATGTATTTTCAGTGGGTTTGTTCAAAAGTTCTTACAATTCCAATAGCAAATATTAAACTTTTTTTTACAGAAAAAACATGTAAAAAAATATTTTGATAAACAGTGGGTGTTCACTTTATATGAAAGTTAACATCAACAAGGCAAGCATAGGGAGGGAATGAGCTAAAAAAACATTAAATTCAAAACATAACAATAACCTTGGATATTAATTCTTATTTTACAATTGTGTTTAAAAAAAATCCTTCAACTTAAATATTTATTAATTGATTAAAATAGAATCAAGTAAAATCAATTTTGCTCTAAATTACAAAAATATAATATAGCTAAGTGTATCTTTTATGACATGGCTATTGTACTTTGTTGTATTGTAATTGTAGGAATTTCTGGCTCATTATAACTGCAATCATCCTTTTCAATTATTTACCAACTTACCAAAGTACTGAAACAAACAGAACGTTTAAAGTAATTTAGGTAGAAATTAATCAACACAACCCCAGTATTTCATCCAGAAGTATCTGTATTAATAAGTAAATGAGCTTCTAGTTGTAAACAAGCTAGTTTAAAGAACTAGCTGACAGTTAGAAAACTGAACCATCAACTGTTAATTTTGTAGTGTTTATATACTCTTTAAAGGGTTGATAGTTCACAAATTTCAATGTTCACAAAAACAAAAGTAACATTTTAAGACAAAAAAAACTGTAATCAAATTGGAAATTGTATTGAAGAAGCATTTGGATAACAAAAGAATCTTAAAAATTTCAAAATTGCTGAAATTAATATAGAAGATGATGTTGGGTGGAATATATTTGGAAATATTGAAGAAAATTGCTGTAATAGTTCAAAACTTAAATTTGAAAATGGTGAATTTACAACAGATATTGGAAATGTTTTAGGAGATACAATTGGCCAACAAGATAGACTTCAAGAATTAACATTCTCCAACAATCAATTAGCAGATACTGTTGGAATTATTTTTCTGAAAACTGCATGAGTGAATGAAAATAGACAGTCATTTGTCAGAGTTACAACAAAATACAATGTGTAATCCAGGTTTTAGTAATACCTTTTTACAATTATTAGTTTTAAAAAAAATTTCATTCCTTTTTGTTATAAAATATATTTTTTTATAACTATGAATTTAGAAACTCTACTGAAAAACCCTAATAAAAATTCATCAGCTAATATCCTTCCAAGCCTATAATCATCCCAGATTTCAAATCTTTTCTTCTCTATATCACCATATTTTTTTCTCTGAGAGAAGTTTTTCATAAATATAAAAACAAACTGAATCAAACTCTCTTTTCAATTCTTCAATCAACAAATAAAATGATCATTTCAATTGTACATTATTATTCATTCTATTTTGTCCTCCTTCCATACTATTATTAGTATTATTGATAATCCAAAGATTGACCAATTCAATGGTTTCCAAGTAGAATTCGAAATCCAAGTCTTCCAGCAAAGCAGAAAATTTTCTCCTTTCTTCCAGCTGACTTTTCAAGCTAAAAAATGTAGGAGTAATAATATCTGTGGGTATGAAAGGTAGAGCCATCAACTTCATCAGGTCTCTCCAGTCCTCTCCTCTCTCCATATATCTTCCAGAGTAGCCAAGAGAAATGAAACGTTTAATTTATTATTTGAAAACCAGTGGAAAACTTTGAAACACATATTTATAATACTGTACTGCTCTTGCTTGGCAAATTTATGTGTTTTCAAGTTATAACGATACTGGATCTACTTGAACCTTTAAAAAAATGTTTAAATTAAAACAGTTTATTCCCAAAAAAAATATTTAAACAAGTAGTAATATGAGAGTTTAATACCAGAGTAGATAGTTTCTAATAGCATAAAGCAAATGAAAAGATATTGTTCCTGTTCTGACCTTTTTCAGACAGTTTGTAAATTATTAAATAATCATCAGATTTTGAAAAGGCAACTTTGAAAGCAATATCATCAGTTTGTAAAAATGCAGAAATTAGTGGATGTTTGTTTCATTGGTCTCAGACTGTAGTACTTGTAGGAAATATGTTGAGCAATTTATAGTTTAAAAATCTGTTGTACAACTTTGGTTATATTTAACATGCTTGAACTCTACTATTTTATGCAACTTATACATGTATCTCTTAAAACCTACACAAAAAAAATGCTATAACAATGACCAAACACAGGTCTGATTAGTCAGCTTGAAGGCTCATCTTTAAATACCAGTAAAAATTTGGCCAAGTTATAATTTAATTAACTTGCCTAAGGTGTGGCCAAGTTATAATTCAATTAGCCTTGCCAAATGTTGAACTTTGTAACATCCTGTTGCTAAACATAAATATGAACTAGACATTTTGGCAGCTGTAAAATGATGATTGGCTATTGGAGGCAAACCTCAAGTATATAAATCCTCACTATTTTCATTCGAAGCATTCCTATCTGGACTCAACAACCTCCACTGGAACCATCCATCTACTCCTCAACATTGGAAGACAGTTTGGTAATTTGGCAACCTGCTATAACCACACTATAAAACTTTCATATTGTTACTTGCTTAAGTATTATTATTTTGAATAAACTGTTTTAATTTAAACATTTGTTTAAATGTTTGAGTAGAGCCAGTATTGTTGTAACTTGAAAATGCATAAATTTGCCAAGCAAGAGCAGTACACTCTCTGCCATCAATGTTTTTACTCTAAACAATTCTAGTACATTTCTTTATAAACATGTAAAAACTCATTTTTTTCACTGTCTCTATCATTTCGATATAAAGTATTATCATTTCAAATGCTATTATACAATTTTTTTGTAATGTGATAGTTAAGTATGTTGGGCATTTTCAACAATCCCCAAAACTAATAATACCAGTTGCTTAGCATAAATGAATAGGGGTGAAACCATACCAGGGTGAAACTGTACCCCAGTGAAACCATACCCATAAAAATATTAGGCTTTTTTTAATTTTATTACTTAGAATTATTTTCTTTCAGAATGACAAAGTTAAATATTTCGAGTATCAGAAAAAACACTGCTGGGGAAAAACATCCCAGGGTGAGAAAAAATGTCCCAAGGTTGGGGAAACATCCAAGTAATGGGAAAAGATATTTGACTTTTAAAAAAATTGCTTTATTTTGGGAACCAATTGCAATATACTGAGAATATAATAATTAATAATGAATATATGTTTATTGAAATGATTTAAAAATAAAAAAGCTAAGAATGTTTTACAAAGTTTAAAAGTTACTAGAATAAAGTAAAAAGTATGTTAAAACACTAAGAATTATTTTGAATAGATTAATGCAATCTTCTGGACGAGGACAACAGATATAATCATTCCCAATTTGTATTCATCCCAAACAGCAAATACTTGGTTCTGCATCTGGATCACACTTTTCTTCTGATACTTCTTTAGCCTTTTTTCTGATAGAAGTTTCTCTGCAATTGGAATAAGACTTGATTTCTGTTTGAAAATATCTATGAGCATATAAAATGAGCCTTTTGCAGGAGTCTTTTCATTTATTCTTCTGTGCCATCCTTCAACATCATTGTCAGTCCTGATGGCAAGACCAAATACAGACCAACAATCTGGTGTCCAAATTGAATGCTTAATCAAAGTACTTTCAATGTATAGGATAAAATTCAAAAATTCATTTCTCTCAAAGGCTTCATTTTTTAGCATGTAAAAACTGTTTAGAATAGCCTCTTGTAGAAGAAAAGGTAATGCCAAAACTTGTTTCAGCAGTCCTGCCTTCTTCTTTTCCCTATTATATTGTTGTGTGTATCCCAAATTCTACAATAATTTAATAATAAGGCCAACCACTGAATTTAAATATAAGCTTACTTGAATTTTTCAGTAGAGAGCTTGTGTCCAATGGAAGACACAACCTTGAATAGGAATATTAGGGTAAACTGAGTTAAGAGCACTCCATATACCTAATTCAAAATCAACTACGAATTTGTTAGGTTGAAAACCATTTGTCAATTTTTGAATTTCCTTTTAATAAGATGAAGTTAATGACATGGAACTAAATAACAAAATTATACTTTAAGAATCATTTTGTACACTTCTTTTTCTTTGATGTTAAAAAAGCAAATGCTAATGGAATTTGTTTTGCTTCTCCATCATTTTTAATAAAAGAATGAACAGAAAAAAGCTGTACAAATGGATCCTTGACAACCTTAAAAGTGCCATCTACATACCATACTTTACTTTTACATAATAAAGACAGCTGGTGCTTAGAAGCAAATAGTAAAACTCTTTGATTTCTTACAACAATATCACTTTGAAGAAAATCATCTGGTATAAATGTCTGCATTACAGATTGCTCTCAATTCTTTTCTAGCAGAAATATTCTCAATAAGGCTTTTCCTTTAGTTATGATTGTGTTCATATTTACTCTTTATGA